ATCTGAACTCTGCATAGTACATAATTCATATCAAAAACATACAATCAAAATGGAATAGTGCGAATATCCTCAATTTTACAAAAATACAAAAATACTTTGACTGTGTTCAAACATAAAAGTTTTCCCTTGTGCATAACTTCTAGTGTTAACATTCAATATGGTTCTTCAAAATAGCAGCAATGGCTTGGTATCAGAACATTTCTTCCTCCCTCCTTTCACAGAAACCGTTCTCATAATACGCTCAGTGTCAAGGCACTTGTTTTTACAAAGTGAAAAGAAACTACCCATTTTAGAATAGTAATGATTCGAAAATACATGAAATCTACCATATAGAACAGTGAAAAATAATAAAAATGAAATAAACTATCTTGGAATAGTATAGAGTAAATTGAAATAAAAATACACTATCTTGTAATAGTATAAGTAAATTGAAATGGATTCACTCCATTTTAGCATTTTATTTTGCTCACTTCTTCACATGATTTCATCATTTAAAGAATCACATCGACTGGACATTCATTGAACAACCTCATCTCTGAACATCCATATCGTTTAACATCATTCAAACTAACTCATCATTTTCATCAACATCTGTATTGGGGTGGGCCGTCTTGTTCTACTAGCATTTGTAACTGTCTCCTCATGAGAAATGTACCCTCCCTCCTTTCATACCATTTAAGGTATGAAAGTAATATGTTCTCTAGAAGAGGCCGTCGTGATCAATCGGTATTTTAGGACATGGAATGAGTGCAACATTTAGGCCTCCCCTGGTCGCCCCTATGCTATCCTTTACCCTGGAGCCTAAACTTCCCCTGGGACTGGTCTCTTAGCCCTACTGGCTTTGGGGTGGTCTGTTCTAATACAGTGATAAAGTCCCTGAAATGGTGTGAAAACCGGTGGAATATCAATAACTCATTATACTAATTTATTTTCATTTCTGGTCAACTTAAATAACTATGCTAACCTCCTTAACAGTGTGTGGAACCTTGGGTGCTCTAACGAGGACTTAAAAAACAGAAGTCATTTCATTAATGGTTTGTAGTTCAATTCAGGAATTTTCACTCATGGCAGATATGTTTCTCCTTTTAAATAACATCTCTAAATGTCAGGTCATCACTGATTAAATGGATGAGCATTAGGAGGTGGTGGCACTTGTCTTTTAAAACTCATACTCTGGTGCCGTGCGCTCCCTCTGAAGCTGCAAGTAAGATTTAAAACATCTGCAGAGTGGGTTGAGCAACCCCTTCTCCCTGAACGATATTTATTGTCGAAAATATGCACCATTAAAATGAGTGATCCAAGGCCCCGCATGTATTACTCCCAATTGTACTAGTTTTTTCAAAATTAAAATCTTCAATCGCTCTTTGCCTAGTCTCTTTTTTAAAACTCTACATCTTGGACGACAAACAAATGTTGTTTCCACCTTAACAGTTCTCCTATGGTAATAAACATGCTACAATGGTGAAACCAATACTCTAGATTGGAATACTTTCTTTGGCTTGGTTCCAGCTCTACCTTTAACATTTTCCATTCAAATAAAGATTTGCCTGCTATCTATATTGTAACAAATTAAATCTTCCCCAAATTCTCACATGAATAAGAATCTCTATAAGAATAATTTGTTTATATTATGAAAAGATTGAATAATATGTTCTACCCTCAGTGTGTTTTTAGGATTATTTTCTAATAAGTGTGTTTATGTGTAAACTCACTCACTCCTGTGTTCCTTCTCTCCCCCTCTGGTCGTCAAGCCACGACCCCCTCACGTTCTGCTGGCCCATGCCAACTCCTCTGGTTCTGTCTTCTCCTCCGTCCTGTCTTCTCCTCAGTCCATCCGCACTTGGATCTTCCCGCTGTAATTCTTTTCAGTGGCCCAACTGCTTTGCATTTCATCTCCTCTTTTTCAGTCTCTACACTGTTGCATGGAGTGGTGTATTCTGCTCTCATGTCCCACACTCTGCTATTGTGCCAAATCTCGCGGCTCAGTTTGGAACTTCATGTCCTGTTTGAGGGACCGATGAGAGTTTGCCTCTTTGTCAGCATGCTGGTTTGGTTCTGGATGCCTCAGGTGGAGATGGTTCTGGATGCCTCAGGTCGTTGTTGGTTCAGCTCGGGTTGTCTGTCTTTAAACCGGAGGAGGAGGAGTCTCCTGTGGTGAGGTCATTTGTCTGAAGATGGGGTCGTAGCATTCTGACAGGCAGAGAGAGAGAGAGAGAGATCTCGGGCCGCATTACCTATAGTTAATTCTAACACACTGAGGTAAAACATATCCAATCCTTTCCACTCTATTTCCTAATCTTACTATCTGTCTTAGATGTTAAATGTCATCTAAACCCAATTAATGTCTACTAATGGTTGTGCCATATCCCTAAACATTGTTTCCACCCACTGTTAACATGGCTACTCCAAATAACTCTTTCAGGAAACCATTTTCTTCTATAAATTAAAAATACCTACATGTTTCAAGCACCACATATTTCACACACTATAAAAGAACGTCCCCATATTTTCTCCATTACTTTAAATCTCACTGTTATTTAGAACATAAGTAACTTTTGTGACTGAACATATCTGCAATGTCGCCAGTTCTTCTGGGGAATTTTGTTCATAAGTTGTACGTACAAAGCTGTACTTGTGGGTTAGTAGCCTGTTTCTACTGTAATCATTTTCAATAATTGTGCTCAGGTCACCGGTCGGTTGTCCATAAACTTAACAGGGGTGTTTCTGGCACAGACTAAAACATGGATCCAGTGTATTTTTAGATTCCCCTAATCTGTAAATTCACCTACATATCCCAATCACTTAAACCCATCTCATCATTTGATACAAGAACTGCATATATGGGGGGTGAATCATCTTGATTGTAATCGCCTCACCTTTGGGACCGAGTATTTCTAACTCCTCCTCTTGTTGCTCAGCTGATCTTTTGGCTCTAGGGATAAGTGAAACTCTCTGAAACACAGCTGGAGTTTTGTTAGTGATGTGGGCATTCTCTATGAGTGGACTAATGGATCCATGTCTTACTTGATATTGTACTCCCCATCCAACCAGAAAGGTGCCAAGTGTAATGAGCACAATCAACAATGCTATTCTGACTCTTATCCCTAGGGGACCCCACAATAGCTTTGGCTTTGTTCTTGACATCATCTCTATTTTCTCCCTGGTTGTGTCAGTTACAGAATTTAAATAATGAGTACTATAATAACGTATACAAAAATTGGACTCTTTTTCAGATGTAAAACAAAAAATAGGTTTTCACTTTAGTGTACAATCTATAAAAACCTATAGACAATTCGTCTTTTGAGCTGTTTCTATCTTTATCTTATTTCTATTTATTGTTTTGTTCCAGCTCTGCCAAATCAGTCCTAACTCCCAATAATGTTCTGGAAGTTGCCAGTGAAGGGTGACAATGTGTGAGGTGGTGTCAATTTTCTCCTTTTTCGTTACCTTTAAACCGGAGCGCGTGTGAAGTTCATTACAACTTCTCACTGTTCCGTCCACCGGGGATCAGCTCACTGTCTTTTGTGAACTTTCACCCTCACCCAATCACCTGGCCGAACAGGAGTCTCTTCTGGTGTCTCGTCTTGTATCTCTGTAGCTTTCTTAGCCTGTGTAGACAAAACTTGGATTATATTACTCAGAGTTCTGACATATTCATTACTTTTATTCGTCTAATATCCAAAACTGGACCACTCCCTCCTTGGAGGAGGCCCAAGCTTTGGCATACCTTTTGTCGTTATGAGACCTATTATATGCTACATGTTATTATTTATTAACTACAACGTCACTGAAATCAATATATCTATATAATCATGACACTCCCTCCTTTGAGCATAACATGCTCAATTAATATTGCAATGATTACCCTATTCTGAACAGGACATGTAAAACCCATAACGTTGCATTCAATAAATATAACTTCTCCGTGTACCCATAAGGCGTACAAAATATCGTATGATGTATGGCTTTCTGATGGTATAAAAACATATTCACTAAAATCTGCCATTAGCACAAAAAATGGTTTACTTGTTGCAATAATGGCTTTTGTCCTGGTATTATGCATCATTGTTGCTGCGAAAAACAATACCCATGGTGTCGCTAATGCGTCTCAATAATTCTAGGATTAGAGGATTGTTTGATACTGCTGAACAAAGATATGATAAAATAATATTTCTCTAAACTAGAGAGAAAATGCGAACTATTCTCACAGAGGGTGACATGCATGAAGGGCTGGTGCCCCTTACTCAAAATGAGATAGTGCCTTACGCACTACATTATAAATCAGTAAAGTTACTCAAGAATAAATAAATAAAAACTGATTCTTGAAACTGTTGTAAAATCCCTACAACTTCTTCATCCAAGCTCTCAATCAGTGTCATGTTATTTAATCTGCAGCTCATTGCCTTAAAACAGATACTTCAGACCGATTATAAAATTGTGTTTATGAGAAAAATGTAATCTGACTCCATAAGTCATATAATTGTTTGACTAAAAAACTACACTTCCACTAACAATAAATGAAGTTCCCCTTTAAACACAGCCCCGGTCTTCTGACGGGGTCTATCTATGTACTGGCTGGAAAATGTTGTGCCAGTCTCTGTCGCTCTGTCACTTTTCTCCCTCTAACAGTCACTCTCTAGTTCTGCTGGGTTCTTGTTGACTTCTTCACTGGTTTGAGACAAGCGACCCTATCGGACACCTCCCTTTGTAGCCAGACTTCACCACAGCAGAATCGAGTTTCTGTTTTTAGGTCTCAACAGCTCCACGTCAGGTGTATCGCCGCCCCTTGAACTGCAGTCGGTGTAAACAGGAGGATTTGGTATGGATCCTCCGTCTTGGGCGAGTACTAGGTTTCCGTCTTCATATTTTTTGGTGGAAACCCCATCGTCTTGACCTCACTAGCTGTGTGGACACAATAGTTTTCTGTGTGGGGGAACAACATCACTCGTAATCTCTTTCCTTCTCATAATTACAAAAATAGTCTGCTAAATGTTCTATTCTGTGGATGCTTTATGTGTAAATGCAAATGCTACTCTCGATTTTGTTTTTACATTAAACATTAAACCTCTCCCTTCTGTGGTGACAGATATGGCTCAATGTAGCTGGATTTCAAAATACCCTTGTGCTGAAGATGCATCACCTGGTGGTCTGGCCCTCTGAGCTTCCTCATTGTTGTGGTTGATACCAGGGTGTCAGTGGCATTTGGGTCATGTTTGGCAATGCTGTTCGTCTTTGACATCTCTGGGACCCCCTGCCTCCGTTGTCATCATGGAAACCTACCCGGGGTAACTGCATGGAGGGCCGTTGTTTGGTGCAATGTTCTGCGGACACTCTCTGGACCAATGTGTCAGCTGACCACATTTGTTCTTCGTCTTGATCGTGGCTCTCCTCTCCATTGTCCCTTTTGTTGATGCTGTATGGGAGTGTATGCCTTTGCTTGCGGCTGTACTTGGGTAGGAGGATATGCAGGTGTTTGCTGTTGCCGAAATGGAGTGGGAAGATATTCTGGTGCTTGCAGCATCCTGTGTTGCGGACAATAGCTGGCCCAATGTGAGAACTGACCACATATGGAGCATCCTTCACCTTGGAAACCTTGTCCTGTTGATCGATTACCTCCTTGGAAACGCCCTCCTTCTCTGCCACTTTGTCTTTCTCGGAAACCTCCTCCCCCTCTTTGTTGATTCTGCACCTGAATCTCTGGCACTTCCTGAGCTTGAATTGTTGGAGGTGTCTGACCTGCCTTCTCTGGTTCTATGGCCATCCCTGATGTAGCTGCCATTTGCCTTGCCGCTTTCTTGTTTTTATTAGCTTCGGTATCTTTCTCAGCTATTTGCATCTTCAAGAGTCTCAGTTGTAGTGCTTCCATTTCTGTCTTTTGTGTTTGTCTTTCTTCTGTGATTTCTTCTAATCGTATGTTCTCTTCCATCAGGTGTTTTGATTTACTGGTTAGCACTTTTACTTCATACTCCAATTCTTTGAGATGTTTGTCCGTGGAGACTCCATCCAACTGCAAGACTTCTCCTATAGAACCAACATTCGGGGAGGGAGGAGGGACTTCGGCCAGGCTTAGATACAGCTTCGGAGTTTGGATAACTGGAGCTATGTCTTCCCTCACTGCCAGATCTGCTACTTGGACCATATGTATGCTGTCTGCCAATAGGCTGGCATATTCCAGATGGAGTATCAGACTTGTAACTCTTATAAATCTTTCTTCAGCTTCTCTCCATATAGTTAGCTGTTGTAGGCATTGTTCGTGCTCATAGTCGAGTACTGCTCTTCTATGGGCTTTTGTTGGTCCAGGTTGATCATCTGCTGGAAACAGTCCTCTTGTTTGCCACTGTTCCCACAGTTTCTCAGCTTGGTTCCATGTCTTCTGTCTAAGTTTTGGAACTGTTGTAGCATCTGATCTGATTTGTACCCTTTCCTTGATATCTGCAGTTGTGCCTGGCTCTGCGTCTAACCTCAATTTAGTTTATTTTGGTGACATGTTCTCTAACTATTCGAATGAATATTATTAAGTTATCAAAGATTGAAATACTAACCCTCCGACTAGCACCTTCGTTCCTGATAAATAATATCCTATGTCATCCGAACTTAACTTTAAATCTGGGTAGGGTTTTTTTTATTTTTTTTTTAAGTTTGTTTTTGTTTAGAATATATATATTTTTTTATATTAATAAATTAAAAGATAACAAATTATGCAAATTTTAAAATCTGAAATGTTAAAATAAAAAATTGTACAGTGTATTGTTTTGACTTTGAGATATGAAAATCGAAGTCTTGTGAAAATCTAAATCTACTGTGTACAGTGCATACTGAAATGTATGGAACTATGTAAATGTCATAATTTGTGTTAGCTTTAATCAATTGGTGTTTGAATATTCTACAGTCTAGTTTGAAAGTCTATGATGTAAAGTTTCTCATATTTTAATTAGAAACCACTTTGTAATTCTGTCCTGGCGAATGTGTTCATTAATAACACTCAAAATTTAGCTTCAAAATGTTATAGTATCTTTGTAATAATTCTGTATTACCAGCAGAGTGCGCTGTTGTAATTTCCAGCTTAATCCACTAGGGATAGCTGTTGCAAAACTGACCTCTTTTTAACAAGAAGAAGCTTATTTCCTTAAAAATGGGAAGAAAATTTGAATATGGTTAAACAACACAGCACATAACCGCCAAAACACACTTGCAAACAAGAATATCTCAAATAAACCGCCAATACACACTTGCAAACAAGAATATCTCAAATAAACCGCCAATACGCACTTGCAAACAAGAATATCTGAAATAAACCGCCAATACGCATTGCAAACAAGAATATTTTCAAAACCAGACTCCTACAAATACCAAACTTCCCACGGTAAGCATTTCACGAAATGGCGACTGCCGTGTGGCTTCAGCATGAGGACAAGACAAGATGGCAACTGATTTTCCAACCTTTGACCTGAAGAACAAAGGGATTTGAAAACACCTCGTGTCTCTCACAGGGGAGTTTAAATAATGGCGGGGTGCAATCTTGTCAAGAAAATTGAACACAAAACAACACTGCAGTTTAAAATAACATTTCTATCTAGTTTACTATGAAAAAATGGGCTTTATCTTATTGATATCATCACTTAAAGTTAGGAACCCTTACGCATAAGCTATAAACCTATCTACGTATTATTTGACTTTATAGTCCACTATTGGTCAACTGCTGGCATTTCGACACGCTAGGTGGGAGTATTATGGAAACTTATCAGCGACCATTAAATGACCGTCGTCAATTTAACGTAATGCTGTTGTAACTCCAAATCTTGTATTCCACCCGTAATATCTTGGTTGAAAATAGAACAGTTATGACCACTGATAAAAGCTTACACCTTAATCAAGCCTTTCCTCAAAAAGGACTTTTTTAAAACAGTTTTCAACTGTTTTCGACTAGCACTGTCTTCAGTTACTCAACCCTAAGTTGATTCGCTATGCCTTGTTGGTTTTCAATTACTTGATCCTTAATCAATTCGCTATGTCCCACAGATCTTAACAATAATCGTTAAATGGACTTATATATCCTTACGTCATAGGCTAACTAACTACTAATGCAGTGGTTCTCAAAGTGGGGGGCGCAGAGGCATGACAGGGGGGGCGCGAGAGACCAGGAGGAAAAATGGTTATTAAAAAAATAAAAAAAAAACATATTTAAAAAAATTATTGATTCGAAAATAATATGATACAGTACTATTACGTCTGGGTCTCTGTGTTTCATTAAAGCTCGGCTCTGTGTGTGTGTGTGTGTGTGTGTGTGTGTGTGTGTGTGTGTGTGTGTGTGTGTGTGTGTGTGTGTGTGTGTGTGTGTGTGTGTGTGTGTGTGTGTGTGTGTGTGTGTGTGTGTGTGTGTGTGTGTGTGTGTGTGTGTGTGTGTGTGTGTGTGTGTGTGTGTGTGTGTGGAATGAGCCATTTTGTGTGCGTGCGTGAGCGAGAGAGAGAGATAGCGCACCGGTACCGGAGATCGTTGATGTTAGCTTCTGGTGCTAGCGAGCTATGCTAACGGATATAAGGAGTTTTTTTAACAACAAAGTGGAGGAGAGTCCTCTCCTGTCAGACTGAGAGTCTCAGTGAGCTAAAGGACTCTCAGTGTTATCTCAGTGGGTCTCAAACGTTTTGGTCACCATTAATGTAAACAATTATTTCCGAGGCACACGTTTATATGATCATTATAGTTATAAAAAAATAAGAGAATACATGAAAAACAGCTATGAAATACTATATGACAGTAAAACAAGAATAAAGTTTAAAAGAGTGATTTATAAAATATCCATAAAGAAATAGTAAATCTGTTTACAATTCTGTTTCATCTGGGTGTTGAGAGATGTATCCATAGATCTCTTCATTTTGCTCTCAAAGTGCACCAGATTGATGCTTTCAACTTCAATATTTAAAAATCTTCCCGGGGGAGCATGCCCCCGGACCCCCCTATGTGAGGTCCACACACCACCTATAAAAATAGCACTTTACCCCTGCTTACACCTATATGCCGAGACTTGATATCGAGCCTTCATTGTAACAGTCGCGGGTACATAGTGTATGTGCGTGGGGAGTGTTGCAGTAGAAAATTCCACTGTAGCGACCGGTACATTAATGGGAAACCCTAAATGTTTGAGCACGCTCTATGAAAGGTCAAGCTACCCCACAGCACCCCCAAAAGAAATCTCTGGCGCCGCCACTGAGCCTGACTATTTGTGTTGGGGGGGCCCGACTTTTTTTTTTCTCCAAAGGGGGGGCCTGACCGAAAAAGTTTGAGAACCACTGTACTAATGTAACAAGAGACACCTACATGAAAACACAACAAGACACCTATACAAAGTACAATGGCCACACACATTTATATTTTAAAATACTACACACACACAAATTAATAGCATGCAGGGTTAGATATAAGAAAAAATAAATTTGAACTCACCCTGCTTGTGAAAATGCAACGCCACCTGTTATGGAATTCTTATTGTTATAAATGTGGTTGTTTTAACATTAAATACACAGCTATTTTCAGGATCCGCTGGCCTCCGTCCAACACAAACCTATTTTGTACTGCATAAACTATGAAGAATTTGATTTAACAGGTTTCCTCTTACCAAGTATTCGAGCTCGTTGTGTCGAACGGAAGCCGCGTCTCCGGAAAACAGCTGGTTGTGTAGTCTCTCCCGGCCAACGAGAATCACGTCGAGGTCACCAATTGTTAACTGTGATGGTTATTCTCGCGTCCAGGAAAGAGAAGCTTAAAAAGGAGACTAAATGGAGTCTCTGAGATGTTTTCAAATTGGTACTTTAATTAATAAAAAGCGTGGTAAAGTCACAAACAGAATATTGTCCGACAGAAAAGCAGCTGCCTCTGGCCCTCGCTAGCAGAGAAAAGAGGCCGAACCGCTCAGGTGCTGCTGTTATATAGCTTCTGCAGGCTCCTCCCTGCGGGCCGGCCCTCCACATCTTAATGTCCGTTGTTACGTTTAAACAGAGGATTCAGGCATTGTACATTCAATATATACTTAAACACGCCTCTTCTCCTCATATTGTCTTTCATCACTTTTCCTTTAACACATTCTAAACGTTGTAGTTAATATTCTAAAAAATACAGAAAATACTTCACGGCTGGTTTGGTTTCTGGTCATTCCGGATGTTGTCACATCTTACCCACGTCTGTAAACAATAACTTTATTCAAATAAACTATACCTTCATTTAATATTCAGCAATAATAATACGTCTATAGTTACAGTGTTAAAATCAGTAGGTTTCGGTGTGCATCACTCCATGTCATTTCGCTACTAAATTAACCTCTATAAGAAATGGTAAACTAGCCACATGCTAACCGGAGATGAAGGATTTTCACAATAAAAGCTTAACTGGTTGTGCACAATAATTTTCTGGTTTTTCAGTATAAAACAGCATTTAAACTGAAGGTACATTTAAGGTACATTATGCCATCAAAACATTGATTTTAATTTCTAACACAACCGCTGTCACTACCCGATCTGCAGCTCTTCCCGATCTGCAGTGCGTTGCGAGATACATGCATACCAAGTTACTGCTAACCCTATATGTTCCCCTATATAAACGTTACATTCATAATCAAATGAGACAATCTGCAAGAGAATTAGCTATATTTTGTTATTCTTATTGCTTGTCATTCACACGTTGAGAAAAGACGGCCACCACCGCCCGGACCTAACGGAGCCGCAGTGGGCTAGCTCCGGGACGCGGGCTGGAGCTAGCCCCCTGCGGCTCGGTTAGCTCCGGCGGCCACCACTGGGATAATTGGGTCCCCTATTAACATTTGCTCCCGTTTAGCATTATGGGCGTCATAGCCTAGGGTCCTTCTCACTTCGGTTAAATGGATTCCTTGCGTCCCTCACTTGCGTAGTTTCCCTGCGTTTAGTCTCTCCCACCAGGGAAGCATGGAAAGACGCAAGGAAACCACGAGAAGCCGGGTTGCGTTCCGATAATCCAAATTCAGCTCCTAAATTCTAACCCTATCTCCTATTCCTTGACCTCTGAGTGAAACGTCACGGGGTTAAGGGATAGTGGATAGGAGAATTCAAAAGGACTTAGGAGAAGAGACTGCGGTGCTTTAGAGAATCGACTGCACTTTCACTATCCGAAGTGTTTATGATGCGCCAGCGGACGTCCTGAATGTGCGTCTGCTGCTGTGGGGAAACTATGGAAACTACAGTTCTCTATACAGCGGACTACAACATGGATGTTCAATAAGAACGAGGGACTACTGTAAACTCATCTAGAGACTCTGCATCGTGCTCTGATGCTGTTGTTTTATGCTTTATGAACGGGGACAACAGAGAAACATATTCTTCATGACCAAAGTTGGAATTGAAATAAAAAAGGAAAGTGAAACTTATGCTCGTCACCCTCTCCCTCCGGTCCACATTAATACAAATGATCCCAATACGTATGATTGTATGAAAAGATCTTAAAATCAATACAAATGTATTTATTATAAATGTTAGTCCTTAACATCTATCACTGTGTACATCACCATTCAAACATCTTTTAAAAGTTGAACAAACTCCACACAGCTCAGTAAAGACTGTGAAATGTTAACTTTATTTGATCATTTCAGTAAAAACTAACGTTCATATTTCTCTTTTTG